ACTGTGGGATGACGAACACAGAGACGAGATGTCCTTGACACACTACCACCAGGGGAAACTGAGCTGTGGATCACCCAACTGGTCTTATTCAGCCTAAAAAGCCCTGTAAGATGTCCTCCTATAACCCTCTGCTGTTAACTGAAAAACCCTTCCCAAGACAGACGTCCTCTCTTTTGTGGGGAGGGATACTCAGCATCTGGCTGCATGATGCTGAAAAGAGAGGTTTTAGTAGTAGACATTTCTTGCATGTTGAAGGCACAGTTTCTGACAAATGGAAGTTGAATGAAGACAGACTTGCCACCAATACCTAACACCCTTCTCCTCACTCTCAATTACATATTGCTTTTTCCTTTCCCAAAACAGCATTGTGCAAGCAGCTGAGAAATCAGTTCTAGAAGCTCAAAAATTCAGTCGGGGCAGGGAGGCAGAGGAGAAAAAAAAATGGTGACTAGGAGTCATAAGTGTTTAAGGAGTTTTCACTGTCCCTTCATCCTCAACTTCTGAAGAAATCAGGGCAGACAAATCAAAAAAGCATCCAAAAGAGAAGCATGAATTTGCCTCTTTCACAGCGGAGTATGTGCCACTTTTGCCTCAAAGCGTTAAGTATAATATTCATCTCAAGGCCTCTTACTGGACATTGTTACATCAAGCCAACTCAACCTCTCATTGCTAACTCAAACGCCAGAATCAGACACGCACCACTGTCAGTCATCACCTGACCAAAATGGCAAAAAGATCCTCCCCTGTGCTCTGGCTTCTCAATTCCTCTTATCCAAGCACTTTCTGCTGGTGATCAAAACCCTCAGGCCTTCAGACTGACCATCTATGTGAGCTTCCCACACTGCATGACAGGAAGGCTGGAATAATACCGTGTGCTGGGGCAAGAAGGGTGCAGAAAGAGGGGTCCAAAACATTTGCTTGTCTTCAATAGTTACAATGAAGACACGAGTGCCAAGGAACTGTTAAAGCACAGACTTTATCTGAAGAGTCCAAAGACGAAGCACTGTATTAGGCAGCACAGATCCATCACAATGAAAGACTGACAATCCTGTTGCATCAAGAACAGCATCCTGCACCTCCAGGACAGCAAAAATATCCTCAAAAAGATACTCTGTCTAAAAAGCAAGATCAGATTTGTCACAGAGATATGCAGGGGCTTCAATTAAAACTTCTGTTAATTCACCAAAATATTCAGGGACTGAAGAAGGTCCATACAAATCCAGTGGGAAGAAGTGACCCGGTCCCACTGAACCAGTCTGTCTCCTAGATAAGGGAAATATCTCCTCCTCAGATCCCATCTGTGCACATACAGTAATCTCTGTTGAGATTAGAAAATGGAAACAGACATTGTTGAGATGGAAACAGATGAATCTGCTTCCCTCGAACAGCCACAATGATTTTATCCTACCTTACTATCCTGAAGTGGAAAATGCACATTAAGATATATAACCTGTGTCAAGTATGCAATTTTTATCTATGTGCACCTCCTGACAGCCTCAAACAAATAAATCTGGCTTATGGCCCTCCCTTTAAATTCATCAGTTCTTAAGGTGTCAATGCCAATGTTAACCAATTCACTGTACAAGTTTTGGCAAGTAAGTGAGAAATGCATGAATATCAGGTGCAGCAACTACCTATATAGGAAGATATTTTCTCATTTAAACAACACTAATGTAGCAGAATTCTAGAAGAAAAAATATACCCAGATGTCGTAATTATCACATACCAACCAAGGTCTCTCTTCTCGATCCTTTCACAAAGTTATCACGATACTGGTAGGACCAATTTGTGACCTCTGCATAAGCAGTTGCTTAGAAAAAAATATGTCAGCACTTACCTTTGCCCCTTTTGTTTCCATTTAGAAGTCACCAAAGTCTGACAGAAAGAGCAACAGATAAAACCCACTAGCGAATCACTTAACTAAATCAAAGCCTCTGCAAAACCTTGATGAAAGAGCTAGGTAAGTAGGGCTTCAAAGTGATGAAAGCTATGACAATTCTACAAAGCTACTGGCTACACACCACTGAGGACTGCCTGAACCAAAAAGCCTGTGCAGGTGCATGTGAATAAAAACAAACGTATGCAAATTTTACAACAAAATAAATGCTAATAGCAACATTTCAAAACACTGTGTTTAGTTTTCGCCTCATAACTCCCATTAAATTTAACAGGGCTTGCACAGCCAGAACTCCATACAACACATTGTACTGTGAGCTATGCAGTATATTTTGAGCAGAGTAATTGCCAGTAGGTACATGCATCAGTGCTCTGGCATCAGTGAAATGGAATTAGAAAGGCACATAACTCAAGTAAACTCAACTGCTGCACGATTAAGATTAGCACTTATCCTTCCCTCCTCCTTACTTGTCATTGGCCAGGTGATAGAAGCGCTTATTCACACAACCAACACACAACAGGGACACAGCATCCAAATAGGAAAGTATATTCACCAGCATTTCTGATGGCATGCTGGAAAACAAGAGAAATACCATTAGACTTGCCTGCAAACTCCAGTAATCACAACGGCAAAGAATTTTAATCCCAAATCAGAGCAAAACAAAGGAGACTGAAACTACTAGCTTGTAAATACACAAATCAAAACTCACCTGAAGAGCTGATTTGCAGAGTTTGGGTTCTGATTTGTCCCTCTGATCTCAAACATTTGCTTAAAACCATTCACCACAACCTATTCAAGCGGCACAGCGTAATTATGTGAAAAGGTATGGGCTTGGATTTTCATTAGTATTAGTTTCATGCCAAACGGGGTTAAGGTTAAGAATCTCATTCAACTTCAGTTTCTTACTCCTTGTACCACGATTTTCACACTTAATCCATAACCACCAGCGTTTTCCAGAACCGCATATACTCACTCTCCTCCTGACTGGTGTCAGGTCTCAGGATGTACCAGGACAGAAATCTCCTAGTCAAACAGTGAGATCATGCTCCACCTCATCAAAAACTTCAAACCACCTCTGCTCAGGGGTCTCATACAGTTTTCATTTATGTCAACAGAAAGATGTGAACTTCAAAGTAAGACCTGCGTTGTATTCTCGAGAACATTAACGTTTCTGTGCACCTGTCAGGCTGCCTGAAATGCAGGTGCCAGCCTAAGTATAATAAGCACAACATAACCTGGACATGAGCCACCGTGATTTCTGTATTAACAGACAGACGCCACATACCATCTGAGTAATATCTGGTAACTGCACAGAGTTTAAAAAAAGATGTATTTTATAGTATAACTTCTTGGAGCAAGATACTATGGTAACATCAAAATCACCACTGAAAATACAAGCTGCTGTGAAAGTCAACACCTCAGCTGTGTCTCTTGTCGATTTACTACTGTGTCATTTACAATACTTGTTGATTTATAGTATTTCATTCCAGAGGCATATAGCTTTCAAGCACAGAGTGATAATAATGCCAGTACTCCAAGTTTTGTTTTAAAACTCAGAGCCTTAGTTGCACTGAGGCAACCGTGCCAAAACGTGCAGTTATTATGTGAAATAACTCTAATCCCAAAGCAGTGAGCACATTTATTCCAGAGAGAATTTAGAAGTGATCCTTTAAAAAGCTGCAAATTAGCTAATATGCTTGATCTAGAATTCTCAGCAGCAGTTTTCAAAACTATATTATTTTTTCTTTGAAGGAAGCTGACGGAAAGGAATTTTTTTTTTTCTTTTTCCTCTTGTCTTTCACACCAAACTAACAGCATAAGTGACTGAACCAGCCATCCAACAGAAAACAAATAAATGACTACACAGGAAGCTACAAAATGTATAAAGCAAAGAAAATTAATCTTTAATGTAACATATTCTTAGATTTTTTTTTTTTTGTAGCAACATAACCAATTTGGGAAAAAAAAAACCTCACGATTACATTGAAAGTGCCCTTTCACTGTCAAATAGTGTGGGAAACATTTACCTTGCAGTGAATATGCAGCAGCCACTTTATTCCTTCCCCTTCATCCCACTCCACCACCCTAAGCCTCTCTATATAAAGCAACAAGCATCAAGAGAGTATCAGAATTCTAATTCCAAACTGGCTTTTATTCATGTAATACAGTAGCAATTTTTATTCTCAAGGAACATCACAGCCCATGATTTGCAAAAGAGCTCCTGAAGGCTTTATATGACTTGGAAAATGCACATACTTCAAATGTACTTAGAAAAGGAGGTGAAAGAAAATGACGCTTGAAAACATTAGAACGTCAACGCAGGATCACAAAGTAGGCCAGGAAAGCAATCTTTTCTTTTCAACTCAGAACATCTGACATGGAAATATCCAAGGTATGAATATAGTAACTGTAAGCAGTCAAAAGATGGCTTACGGTGTGCGCTCTTACTCCTAAAGACATACTCACCTCTCAAGGCACAAACTAGGTTTTGGTTTCATGGAAGGTGTCAAATACAGACTTTTAATTCCAGCATTTACAGTTTCAGAACATTCCCCAGGACTGGCAGCAAAGGTCCTTGACCTATTTCTAAAAAGGAAAAGCTGTTAGGAGCCACATCATCAGAAAATGAAGAAACATGCAGAGTGTGCACACCCAGACACCATGTCTCAACTGACAGGAGTCATGGAATACATCACTTGGTAACTCATTATCAGCTCGAAAATTTGAACAATTATCACTACGTTAAAACACCTGACATCACGAGGATGTCAGATTTAAACTCACAGGTGCCTCTCCTATGATTAACCTCTCACAGCAGTCAGAAGGCAACAGAGCCACACAACCACATCAGTTCGAATAATCAAGCTCCAGACAGACCCCTGCAGTAAAGTCAAACTCCAGAGACGTTTTTGAGCCATCCAACTTTGCTAAGCTACTAAAAGATACTAAATAAAACAATACCTCGAAACTTTCTCAAAACCTGACAAGGCTCAAAAAGAATTCCCTCGACTATGCAACAGCATCATATTTGAAACAAAGTTCTAGTTTCACTTCAGATTTTCCCCTGCTAAAATAATCCTGCAAGACAAGTTCAACAGGCAAGATGGGTATCAATGTTTTTATTGCTCAATAATGCGTAACAATTCAGAGAGAAATTACTTTCTTTTACTAAAGAAAGCAACTTTGCACATTTCTAACACAAATTCCTACAATCCAAGTGGCCACACTTTTTTTCCAAGTTTTCTTGTGGTAAGAACTTTGTAAGCTGTAATTACAAATACTATCACTAAACCACATAGAAATATCCAGATGGAGTTTCAGTCTTAATCAGCTCCTTACACTTCATACCCACTGATGCCACCAAGGAGGCAGAGCTCCCCATACACTCTGTTAGTGATGGTTTGTACTGCCAGCTGACTTTCCAATGCCTGGTCAGTCCAACTATGGATTTCTAAGCAACCAATCAACGTGGGGAAAGAGGCAAAAAAGCAAATTTGAAGTACATCGGTACCATATACATCTAATGCACATTGTTCTTGATTTATGATTGCTTTATGCTCAAAGAAAAATTAAAATTGGGAGAAAAGAACAATTCTGCCTTACACTGTCAACTGTGCTATGCAAAAAAAAAAAAAATCCATGAACTTTTGGTAGGAATTGTTATAAGCACAATACAAAAAGACATGCACATTTCAGCTTGGTGCCAATCACTGGCAGACTAACAAAATTAACAACTACAAAGAAGTAACTGTATATCAAACACACCCTGAAGGTCAAGCAAATATTTTACTTCTGTATTATCAAGAAGTACAGTTAGTTCATGAGACGAGGCTGTAATTCCATTTTTCAAAAGCCACTAAAGGGATTTAGAGACTCAAGTTGTGTTCAACAGCAGCAGAACTACCACTTCTGTATCCTTCTGGGCAGCACGTTCCAGGCTGTTCTGCCCTGTAACTATGCAGAAAGCACGAAGACACCCAGTTTGGGCACACGCTGCAGTGACACACCTGGAGTCCGCATAGGTACAGGAGTAATTCAGATCAGGAGCCGGGTCCTGGATTTTGCAACACACTCTACTTGGTACAAGCATAACCTGCACCGCCTTGCACTCACTCCTCCTTGCTCTCATTTTTAACTACTCCTTGCATCCCTCTCTTCTTCACCCCAGGAAGGAATTTCTGAGGTAAGAGAAAAGTTGCCTACACATCTTGAAAACTTCAACATAATATGCACCACTTTTGTCAGCTTCCTTTCAAAAAAAGTACTGAATTTTTTCACCTTCCAGAATAAAAAATATCCTCCTCAAAGGATTTAGAAAAAACAGAAAATTCATTGCATAAACTGTTTCTTTCAAGTATTGTGTGTGCTCAGATTTGAAATTAGTATTAACAAAATGCTTTTACACTGCATTGACAAAGCTTGGCTGCTCAAGTTAAAAATCTATGACAGCTGTTCCTCCCCCTCTTGAGAGGCTTCTAGTAACAACTGAGATTTCTCTTGCTTAGAGGCACAACAGCCTCAATTGCTATTTCATTAGCTTTCAATTTATGGCACTCGGTTCTGTACCAGTATTTTCACTTTCATTCCCTGCAGTACTTGCAACACGACTATTTGAGTTTTTGCTGGTCAGGGAACAAATATATTTCAAATAATGTATAGAAACTTGTAGGTAGTGACAAAACCTATCTCCTCCAAATGTTAAAGCGCACCTGGGGATAAACAAAACAGACAGTAATGTTTTGACACCTGTATTTTTTTTCCTCAGCTAACAATTCCAAAGTCCTTAAAAAAAAGTGGGTATTATCCCTTCCATTTACAGGTTACAAAAACCAGGGGGAATGAAACGCTATGAAACCCAAGGTTGTATAGACGGGTTAGCAGAAAAACTTACTTCCCCAGCTCCAAGACTGGTGCTTCTGTACGTTCAGCCCGTACCATGAGAATGAAGCTAGCCGCACCTTCCATGGTGAAACCCTCCCATTTATTACAAAGGCACAACTACCTTGAACACGCTTAACTAGCCACTAAGCCAGCTCGCACTCTGTGGTCAGGCCACCGCCGACCACC